ATGAACGAGATGCATGTGTTATAAAATGGGTTGTGTGCGATTTGCAAGCATTTAATGTTGTAGAAAATAAGGAGTGGCGAGAAATAATATCAAAATTTGATCCAAGATATCGATTTTATAATAGACATACTTTAAAGGATAATATTGTAGAATTATATAAAGAAAAGAAAGAAAATATTAAATTAGTATTAAATGGTATTTTAGGAAAAGTATCATTTACATTAGATATGTGGACAGCAGCAAATAAATTATCATTCCTTAGTCTTACTATCCACTATATTGATACTTCTTGGAAATTAAAAAATTTTCTTCTTGACATAATTCCTATGGATGTATGGCACACTGGATACAATATTGCAAATAATATTTTAAGAGTTCTTTATGAGTTTAATCTTGCAGAAAAAACTTTAGCATTAACAACTGATAATGCTGCATCAATGATAACATGTAGCAAGGCAATAACTGAAGAGCTTGAAAAGGAGTTTGAAAATTTTTCTTTTGCACATTATCGGTGCAGCGTACATGTTTTTAACTTGGCTGTAGTTCAAGGTCTTGAGCTAATTGATAGTTCTGTTGAAAAAATTAGATCTTTGATGAATTGTATTAAAAATTCACAGCCTATTAATGACGATTTAAAAGTATTATATGAGATTAAGAAAATAAAATACTTAACACCTGAAATAGATATTAAGACAAGATGGAATTCGACATTTTACATGCTAGAAAAATGGAAAAGGATGGAGCCAGCTTTAAATTTACTTGCAGCTGATAACCAATTAGTTCGTAAATACTATCCTGATAATAATGATCGAATAATTATTAATGATACAATGGTTCTTTTAGAACCATTTGAACATGCTACATGTTTTCTTTCTGTATCCAAATATCCAACTCATGGTGATGTTCAGTTTGTTTTTTTTTGCACTTCAAGAACATCTTACTTGATATATAAATAATAATGAACTCTCACAGTACATGATGGCTGATTCGATTCAGCAAAAATTGGATGTTTATTGGCCTATTTTAGATGAAACATCTCAAATATCTTCGCTACTTGATCCAAGAGTTAAATCATCTACTTTTAAAGATGAATTGGAGACGAATAGAATAAAAAATAAAATATTTAATATGACAGAATATTTTTCAACTACACTACAATTAACAGCAAAAGTTTCAGTTAATGATGATATTACAAGTGCAAGAAATTATTTCCATCAATTAAAAAATCCTAATACTACTACTTTTTTTACTTCCTCTGAACCATTGGCTAATGAGCCATTATATGGTATTAAAAAAGAATTAGAAAAGTATTTAGCAACACCTTTAGAGGATGATATTGATCCATTGCTTTGGTGGCAAGCACAAAACGAATATCCAACTTTAAAAAAAATTGCAAGAGATTACTTATCTATTCAAGCTACTAGTGTAGCTTCGGAACAAGCATTTTCTATTGCCGGTCAAACTATTTCAGAAGAAAGAAGTAGATTAGAAGGTGATTCCGCAAGGGCAATCTTATGTTTAAAAAGTTGGTTTCAAAATAAAGTTTGTTAACGGAAATGTATAAATCAAAATCGTTTTTTTTTTAAATTAGCATTAGTATTAAATATTCGTTATTAAACCTGCCATATTCTTGTATTAAGTTCTTAAAAATAACGATAATAAGAAATAAAACTGTAAGGCTTTATTTTTGCGGTTATTTTTTTTGATATTATATGTATTTTAACTAATATAAGTATAAAAATTTAATTTATATAATGCATTGCGGAGATTAAAGACCGAATTGGAGACTGTGTAACTGAACTGGACTGGACTGTAAGTATTAATTGATCGGTCTCATTAGGACTGAGGATGAACCGAACCGAACCGATCCAACCCTAATTGTTATACTGCGGCTGAATTGAAAAAATTTTATGCTTTACTAATAACTACAGTATATACCAATTTCAAAAAAATGTCTGTAGATATGTAAGTAAAAAAAGAAAAAGTCGACACATTAAAAACCAACGTACTAGATCATAAACATTAAAAACTTTTTTTTTTTAGAATTGCTCCAAAACCGAGCTGGGCAGACGAAGTTGGAGAAGAATTTGGTAAGAATTTTCGCTAGTTTGCATTCAGAGAATTAACAAAATTAATAAATAAATCAATTTATACAGATTCACTTCCCTTCGAAACTTTTACCGACGAAAATGGTATTAAAACTGTCATCGAATACAAAACTAATGACGAGGGAAAAAAAGTAAAGGTATGCTATTAAAATTTTATATAAATCAGCAATAATAAGACTGAAATAATTCATTTTTTTAGGTTACAAGAAAGATCAAAAAAACCTTGATTACAGAACGTGTTAATAAAGCTGTTGCTGAAAGAAAGGTACTTTCGAATATTATGAACATATTGAAAAAAAAAAACCATTTGTTAATAGCAATTTGTCTAATAATTCTAATAATTCTAATAATTTAAATTTTCGATTTAAGAAATGGGCAAAATTTGGAGAAGAACGTGGTAAAAAAGTTGGACCTGATCTTAGCACTACAAGCATTGGTGAACAAGTATTCTTAAAGCTTTCAAGTAATTTCAAGGTAAAATTTTAATGATTACAACAGTTTATTTCCAATTTGATCTAAAATTTATTATTTTGTTTCTTTTGATAGCAAGCCGAAGCGGCTGAGGAAAGTCTAGCACGTCAAAAAATACACAAAAAGATTCTTTGTCGTATATGCAAAGGTGATCACTTCACTACTAAATGCCCATATAAAGATACACTTCAACCTTTAGATGAGATTAGTACTACTATCCCGGATGCATCAAAAGATGCTGGTAAGATTAAAATATACTCGACTTTTAGAGGTCGTCGAGTTATTAAAATTAAATTATTCGTTTTGCATATTAGCACCTGCCGCAGAGCCGGTTCAACCTGATACAACTAGTGGTAAATATATTCCACCAAGTTTACGACCAGGAAATAAAGGTTCTAGCTCAGACTCGTTTAAAGAGCGTAAAGGTAATTTTCAAGAATTTTTATTAATTTTACATCAATTTTTTACAATCATTTAATATATTATACTATTTTTTTTTTTTTTAGACGATGCCACCATTCGTGTTACAAACCTGTCAGAAGACACTACTGAGGCTGATATACATGATCTCTTTCGTCGATTTGGTGGTATTTCTCGAGTTTATCTCGCTCGTGATCGAGAAACAAATGTTTGTAAAGGGTTTGCCTTTGTCAGTTTTCAAATCCGTGATGATGCGGCTAGAGCATTACAGGCTATTAACGGTTATGGTTATGACAATTTGATTCTTCGTGTTGAATGGGCCAAGTAAGTAATCAATCAATTAATTAATCAATCAATCAATCATAAATTTTACTATTCCAATTTTATGATTTTTATAAATATTAATTAAAATATTTCATTTTAGGTCATCATCTTAATATCGTGAATTTTAAATTTTTAATATAAAAAAATATATATATACATACAGTATCATCGATCTTTATATAATGTCTAATTGTTTGTTAATTTTTATCAATCTTTTTCCCTTTGCTTTCTCGGAAACTCTCAATCTTAGCATCTTCAATTATAAACTCATACCAAAAAGATGCTATAAAAATAGTACTAGCATGCCATAAGGAATGTGCATCAAGAATTCCCCACAAAGGTGAGAAATCAAATATTTCTAGTGACATAGCAGATAAAATGAGTAGTACAAGTGCAATTGGCTTCCATGCGTCATCCGGTCTTTTATGCCAGTGATTTAATGACCAACCAACCCAAATTAAATTGTTTGACATACCAATAATGATACTAGCTGTCATATTATATCCATAATCAAATTTAATAAAATGTAAATATGAACAATGTGCTAAAAATCCTGAAATACAGAGTAATGCCCATAATATAGTTTGTTGTTTATTGCGTATTTGAAATACTCTCAATACGGTATAAAATAGAGTATACAATATAGTAAGTCCTGCTGAAAAATAATCTAATTCCTCGGTGATTGGAAAATCTCGTGTATGATATATTGTTGACCAAAACCAACTGTTCATTGCTACGTATGCCGAAACTATATAAAACTTTTTCATATAATAAAAATCTTGAATATAATAAAGCTTCGGAAGGTAACGGTAGTGTATGTAACCGTTTAATATACTAAATATTACACTAGCTGGCTCTTGAATCCCCAGAAAACGATGAAAAGGCCATTTACCATAGTATTGAAGAATTTCTCGACTTTCTAATATCGCTTTATCGGTTATTTGGTGCATACAAACATATTTACAGTTGTCTTCACAAGACCAAAGAAAAAATCGTAAGGTAAACGGAATTGGTGAGATCCTTTGTTGGCATTTTTCTACGAAACAATTTGAAACGCAATTTTGAAAGAGTATGTCTTGATCCCCCCATGATGCACTTACTACTAGGAAGGAAGTGATAAATAGTAATAAACAAATTATAGACTGTGGAGAATAACTTAATTTAAACATTGTAAAGTGATAATGCGAAATAAAGAGAACAAGACAAGAAGTATGCGTACGCACGTGCGTACCAGATACCAGATACGTACCGGTACGTACAAGTTGTTAATTTCGTTGTGTAACTTGTTACCGATAATTTCAGAATTTACCACGTGTCTTTTCATAATCATATCAGATCAGATTGAACGTTAGACATGAACGAAGAGGACACGAAAAAACGTCTTCATTTTCTTTGGGGCGCTTCTCATACTTTACTGCCTACCGTCCCTGGTTTATCAGCCTTTTATATGCAAAAATTTAATCAATGTGCAGCTGAAGAAGATTTAAATCTTGCCGATGGTGTCAAGCGAAAGTTTTGTGCACATTGTGGAAACATTTTCGTTCCTGGAATGAACACTCAGGTACGAATTAATGTAAAGAAGAAACGAAAAAGAAGAAATAAAAAAAAGAAATCAGAAGCAAATAATGAAGGCGTTGAAGGTAAGAATTTCATTAATGCTTTTCTATTATTTTTATTTTATTTTATATTATCTAATGTTTTACAGAATGCGACACGTCTTTTAAAACAATTGATGTGAAAAAAAAACGGAGGGTAATATATTTTGAACCGTCAATCTCTAGTAATCAAACGAATAGTACTACCTTATTTCAGAACGATTTGAAACACACCAATCACCGACAGCATCAAGGTCATAAAAATGTTTTATCTTATGTTTGTACTTTGTGTAAAACTGAAGCAAGGTTCGCTGGTAGCAACGTTGTTAGGAATATTTTATCCGTAGACAATATTATCAATACTAATAAGCAAACTCAAGTTGCCAAAGTTACCAACATAGCATCTACATCTTGCAATAAAGGATCAACGTCGATTCAAAACCAAAATTCTGTTGATAGCAATAAACCAAAGAAGAAAAAGCAGAAAACTCAGCTTCAGCAATTATTAGCTGAGGAAAAAAGAAAGAAAGATGAAAGTAAAAGTTCTCAATTAAGTGGATTGAATCTGGAAGATTTTTTGTCATCATTGTAATTCTGGCCAATAATGAAAAAAAATCAATTTCCTATAATTCATGTATAAACTTTTGATTACTACAAAAAATGTTAACGTTTTGTGTATATACAGTAGATTATATTTGTTGAAATATACTTGTTAAAAATTTCAAAGATATCTCAAAATTAGAATAACAGATGTTGGATTTTCCGACCCTCTCAGAATCGGTATGCACGGTTTGTATCAGCTTTGAGAGGTTATCGGATTTGAAAACATAACAAACTATTAGATTTATAGGACTTGGTAGACTAATTTTTTTATCGGTTTTGACAGGGTCGACTGTACTTAACTTCGAAATAAAAATGACTACCAATTCTATTTTTCGATATATACTACAGTACTACTAAATTAAAATAAATCATTTGGGTTCGCTCTTTCTTTTATCATGAGCATTTTTTGTAGTACTGAGGAGTTGATCTCTTAACATTTATTTGAATTTGGTATGCATTTAATGATTTATCATCGGGCTTTACATTTATATATAAAGATCAAAAGAATGAAAAAGAAAGCTATTATCACAGGTCGAACTTCAAAATTTCAACAAGATTTCTGTGAGAAATTTTACGAAATGTCTAATAGGCCTACCGGATGCAATATCTTGATAGGTTGCAATACGCGCCAAATATCTGGTCGTTAGACGTCCGATATTCCACTGATATTTCTCTAAAATCTTATCGAAATTTCTATGTTCTTATAAAAATTGCACTAGATCTTATTAACTATTGAATATTACACGTGGCTAGATAGTAATACTATTTGTATTTAACAGATTATTGTGCAAAATAAACTTTCAAACAAAAATCGGCTAAGATGGCTGTTTTGTGAAAACTTTGACGCGAAAGTTCTCGAACGTTATATGCATTCGCTATTCAAATTTTCATCTTTGAACTCTTAGTAATTTTAATAGCAGTAATTGTATAGATTAATATGATTAAATTGATAGGAAAGGAGGATAGAATATTTATTTCCAATAGAACCTTCAGCAACCGTACCAAAATTGGTGAAAAATTTTTAAATATTCATACGTGTAAGAAGACTAAATATCAATTTGCTTTCACAATATTTTACATTTTTAAAAAAATTAAATTATTAGTAATTGGTTACACAAAAATTGGATTATACAAGTCTATATTTACAGATTGTACTTCTTTTAAATTTGGTTTATAACCTAATAATGTATCTTTTGATTTATTATTTGTTAGTATAAATTTAATTTTATTTGTTTATAAAATATATCTTAATTTTGACTTATAACCTAATAATATATGTACCTTTTACGAATGATATTCCAAAGTTATCTAATATTCTTTCAAGCTGGCACTCACATTTACATGTCTTCGACCGACCAACTGTAAGCTTCACTGGCCAGTGCAGACCTCGTGTTAAGCTTCTCAAAGTACGCTTTTTCGAATCCATTAGAACGATCTATATGGATAGAAAGGTAAATAAATAAAAAAAATGCATATTAAAATATAAAAATTCACATAAAACATATACCGCTTACCTATGCCATCCCATCTATAACCTGGCGGTATATTAAAACGATTAGGAGGTGGTGGAGGACCTTGATATTTAGGACGGCTCGATTCTTTTTTTTTCCTTTTCTGATAAGTTATTACAAAAAGTAAATAATTAAATTCATAGAAATGCTACTATTCTAGATATATATAATGTATGAGATTGCTCACTTTAGTTAAAAATAATGCAGCAGGATCATCCCAACGTTCTTGTGCTTTTTGTTCTTCGTTTAATTCTTTGTCATCTTTATATCTATAAAATAAAGCCAAAAAAAAATAAAACAAGATCAACAAAAAAATTTATATAAATGATAGAAATTAATTGATAAAAAATACATCATTCATACATTGCTAATGGTTTATGACGTAATTCATCCTCTTTAACAATTTGATCCTCATTTCCCCATTTCATGTGTTTCTCTTCTTCCTCAATTTTGCGACGCTCTTCAGCTCTTTGCGCAACTATATCGATCTTTTTTCCTGCATAATATATAAATGAATATTACTAAACATTATACAGATATTAATTAGAAAATAAATAATATAATTATTTAAAATATTAACCATGTTTATCACGATATACAGTCTGCGCACCACGTCCAGATCGTGAAGGATCCATAGTTCTAAATTTGTCCTTAGCCTCTTTATCAATGCGTTCTAAATCTTTTTTCACTTTATCAGCTGTCTGCAAGCCAACACTTAATCCAGAGTCCATTTTTCTATCTTTTTCAATGCGCTCTAAATCTTTTTTCACTTTATCAGCTGTCTGCAAGCCAACACTTAATCTAGAGTCCATTATTCTCTCTCTTTCACTGCGTTCTAAATCTAACTCATCGGCTTTCCATTTATTTAACATTTCATCTTCGTCAATTATAGCGTTAGGTTTCGCCGATTTTTTTGTTTTTTTCGTAGTTTTTGAAATTGATCCATACTTTTTGGCTAAATAATCGTTCTGGGAAGACATTTTTTGCGTATGTACGTACGTACGTACGTTCCTGACTAACAGAGTGTTATCTGTTATTAAATACTAAGGGGGCACCAATCAGATTTCGACCGCTGGATCAGCCAATCAAATTAATTGCTTCAGTTTCTATCTACTGCTGACGTCAATAAGTATACAAATCCTGTATCGTGTGATTGGCTAATCATATTCCCTCGTTATCGTTATCGTTACTTATATTATACATAAGTGAGAAAAAAATCACTACTTTTAGCTTATATTGAGAGTATATTATAAGCTTATGTATTTCACTATATTGAGTTGAAATTTGTAATTTATATGTCGAATCTTCACTTATCGAGAGCTATACTGTAGCTAAAATAAAGCGAATTATACAGTATCTTTGGGTAAAGATGCGTAATAACTATACCTACACGTGACATCGTATAATAATTATATAATACTGTAATTGGTGCTATATACTGATAACGATAGAACGATTAACTGAAATGGGGAAAGCTTTTGCTGTTGTATGCGCAAGCAATCAAAACCGAAGTATGGAAGCCCATCATGTTCTCTCGTAAGCTATCTATAAAAATCTAAAAAAAGGTCTAATATATATATTTTAACTATTTTACCACTAAAATAAAAAAATAAAAGTAAATGTGGGTTTCAAGTAAGTTCTTATGGTACAGGATCTGCAGTTCGTCTTCCAGGACCTAGTATTGAGAGACCAAACATATATCCTTTTGGAACACCTTACGAATTCATGTATCAAGATTTATACAATAAAGACCCTAAGCTGTATGAATTTTTAAGGAATGATATGTCTTTTTTTTTTATCCTAATATAATTTATTGATTTGTTCTTCCACAATCGGATCTATAAAAGATATAAACAAAATGGTCTTTTAGACATGTTAGATCGGAACCGAAAAATTAAGTTAGCCCCTGAACAATGGTCAACCGATGCTAAAGAAAATTTTGATGTTATTATAAGTTGCGAAGAGCGATGTTATGATGTCATTTGTGAAGGTGAATTATATTATAGATTTTTATTTTTTATTATTATTATTTATTTTTGCAACTGATGATTATTTTCGTTATATAGATATGACAGAGAGAGGAGAATTACGAAATAGGCCATCACACGTTATTAACATTGACATAAAAGATAATCATGAAGATGCTATGCTTGGTGGACGAGCTATATTGCAACTTGTTCAGATGGTTTGTATTAATTTAATTCCTTAGTTTGTAAATTTACTAAGTTGAAATTGGTAAGCATAAAGAGTATGATGATTTCTAATCCATTTTACGCGTATAAACCAGATTGATAATGAACGTATTACCGATCTGGATGAAGAGATGCCAAATATCCTTAAAGAATGGCAACAAAAATATAAATATGATATACTTCATTGTATTGTATATTTTTGATGTTACGTCTAGTGGTTGGACCCGTCTGAAAAATCATGACCCGGGTAAACCCGTGGGTCTATCCGGATCGCCGGGTAACCCGACTAACCCGGGTAAACAATTGGGTAGCAAGAAGTGCTTTCCCAACTCCGAATCAAAATCAATTCTTATAAAATTCTATCTTTCTTCTATAATTATAATATGAAATTGATAAAATATCTGATGAATTGCATACTAGAATTGATTCATAACATACCAGTATAATATAATACATTTCTAACTCCTTTTAAACAACTCAAGCGCCTAGTTACATTATCTAATTTTTCATATCAGATGTTTTTCTCTTTCTGTATATACTGTAACAAAATTATCATCTCTCATGTCATTATAAGAAAGAATTTTAATTTAAAACTCATAATTATAATCTATGGATACTATTTCAAAAAATTGATACAGTTAGTACAGCAAGGGCCCACTCTCGTTGACTCCGGACTATCACATGATCATCAGGAGCACCACAACCTGGCATAGCATTTTCGAGTTGCATTTTTAATTTACAAATACATATCGATATGTCGCGGAACACAGCCACAATGCACATAAAATTTAAGCCATCGCAGAAGAATAATGTCCTACGTAGCTCAATTAATATTAATTCACCTTAATACTAACACTACAATACTGTTAAGATTTTTTTTTTAAAAAAAAAAGAAAAAAATAAATTATAAAACATTTAAGCCTAATTTTTTTTAATCAAAAAAAATCTTTATTTTTATTTATTAAAATTAATAATAGCTATTTTTTTACAAAAAAACAGAAATAACTCAAATTTTAAATTAAAAAACCATTTTTTGTAATCTAATTAAAAATGCTTCTTGTGAATTTTACTAATTGAACCTTTTTCTTTCTAATCTTAACTCTAATCTTAACCCAACTTCAAACTACAGCATTGAATTTTCAGTAAAAATTATAGAGGAAATTATTTTTTGTAGGTATGCTATCTAAAAAGTTAAACAATATTAATTTTAATATTAATCTAATATTAATCTAAAAAGAATCAAAAGAATATGATGAACCAAAATAACAAAGAGACTACTAAAAAAACAATAAAAAAGCCTAAAAAAATAAAAGAGCCACAAAAAAGTAATGAAAGAATATTAGAAAAGCATCAAAAAAAATAACAAAAAATCATCAAAAAAGTGACAAAAAAGTAACAAAGAATTACTAAAAAAGCAACAAAAAAGTGAAAAAAAAATCAAAAAAAATATAAAAGGTATTAAAAAAAATAAATTATTGAAAGAATAACTAAAAAATGAATACTAAAAAAATATTAAAAAATAACAAGAGTTGAAAAAGTAATTAAAAAAAATATAAAAAAATATTAAAAAACAATGCAAAAAAATTATTAAAAAAAAAACAAATCAAAAAAATATAAAATTTTTAAATTAATAATACTAGAATTTTACAGATAGATATATTATTTTTTACCTAAGTTAACATAGCTACAACTTAATACTTAATCTATTTGTGAATAACTTAGATAATATTTCTAAATTTAACTACTAGTTATATTCTTTAAAGTATTAGGTATTTGATATTTGATATAAGAAGAAGTTTATATAATTGGCTATTTATATAGATAAATTTAACTCTAATATAATTATTGCAAACCTCATACTAATTGGTTAATTTATATAATTGTTTGGAGTGGTATTTGCTAATTTCCTCCCCAAGTTTCTATTGGTCGCCACTTTTAATTGGATAAAATTGACGATCCTCAATAACATGATACAGTATTACAGTATTCATATTACAGTATTACACTTTGCTATTTTTGAAATACAAATCGAAATACTGTCTTCCCAAATTTTTTTTTTTGTACTACTTTGAACTTGCATTTTAGTAATAATAATTTTAGCATAATAGCTAGATTGAAATACCAGAAGCAACTTTTTATATACTTATAACTTGTTAAATACTGATTTACTAATATTCTTATCGCTTATTTAGCACTAATTTATTATATATAAAAAAAAGCAAAAACTTGAAGGTTTAATTTTTATATTTAATAATTATCATTTTATTAGATTTTTTTTTTTTTACTAAATTTATTAAATCTGAAATATTATTAAGATCTAGATAGCCTATTAAAAAACACTAACAATATCTCAAAAGCTGCTATTACTAGCCTTTAATTTACAATTCTTTAATAGTCTTTTATTTTTAGCTTGTAAATCATCAGCAATTTTAATTTTCTTGTTTAGTTGATTCTAGCAGTTCCCTATTTATAAAAAATATAATATGTTCGAACAACCACAGTAGCATAATATCAAGGAAGTTGTCTAATACAAAATGTTCTTTGTTCTGGTGGCATTATTTCCAAGAGTTCTCCCAAATAAAAAGCATACCATAATAATGCTTTTCAATTTCCTGTTCTATTTGATTAGAGAAGGCACTGGTATGTAGCTGTAGTTTGGCCTTGATAGTCTTGTAATGAATTATAGAGAACAATAATTGGGTCACTAACTTGATTATTATTATTATAGAATGACAATTCGGTTATAACTTTCTCATAAAGATTTGCTATAATATATAAAATCAAAGATAATTTTTGTTATATATGGGGTTTTTTTAATTTTTTGTTAAAAAATGAAATAAAATAGTGGCTATTTATAACAAGATAAAAAATTATTTTTTTTAAAGACTGAAAAGAAGCATGAAAGGTATTTTATAATTTTTTTAACCTATTTAATTAATAAACGCGAGCAATAATTTAGCATTTTAACGCATAATTTGTATGCATTGTTAGACAAAATTTTTGAAAATGAACTTAGCTATTTTCGGCTAAATTTATAACTTCCATATGTATCTAGGTATGAATTAATTTAGTATAGTAATTTTACTATATTCATTATATCGCATTTTTTAATTTGGATAAATTATATTCATCAATAATATGCTAAGCAAAAGAATCTAATCTAAGTGGAATTTTGGTTTTCTATTTAATACAATATAATACTAGTAGAACAAATAGATTCAAATCTCTTGTCATCTCGCTCTCCTTATCAAACTAATAGGCTAAGTCTGGCTTGCCATAGATAGTGTCTTTTAGAATTTGCCCGATTGTTGACTGCCAACATTTATTTCTAATTATTATACCATTAGTGGATATACCAATTAAAGATAATAGACCAATTTTATTTATCTTTAACAAGTCAGAATTAAAAAATTAAGCATTTGGTATGTTCTATTCTCAATGTTTTGTCTTAAAAATATTTTTTGAAAACATTAGTGATCTCTTGAAAATAAATTGAATATTTAATTATAGTAATTTGAGGATAATTTTTTATATTAACTTAAATTTTATTATTTTATTTGAAAGAAATATTATTATTCGAAATTATTACATAGTTGGTGAGTAATCTATATTATTTAAAATTTATTATATAGAATAATATATTTAATATCTATTTTGCTTTCATTCAGATCTAAACTCTTTCTGATAATCACTTGAACCAAATTTTGCCAAAAAAACTTCTCAACAAAAACAGTAAAAACCGACTAGCCAGAAGTATATAAAATATGAAAAGAGGGACCATAAGTCAG